ATCAGAATGCATGTATGGAGGAGTCTGTATCATGATCTCTTCCTTCCTCCACTGTCAACAACTGAAGGGGTTTCTGTTGTTTTAAATCTACTTCGTTTTGGACAAGGGGGTGGAGAGAGAAAAGCTTTCAGGTGGTGCTTCATGAGTGTTCTTTTTTTAAACAATAAATTTAACTCTGGTGTGCTGAGTACAATTTCTCCATTTTCTCTGAATACACTGAGGTCCATACACTCCTTGTCTTTCAGAACCCAAGGGTTCATAAGCCTTCCCCTGAATACTGGGCTAATCTGCTAAATCTTTGACAATGGCTAGTTAGTACGTTCCCAGGAAAAAACATAACACCACCAATCTAAAAATGTTCTGCTATTTATCCAAATTTTCTTCTCTACTATTCAGGTGAAATCTATTGTTTGATAAAGACTAAAACACTAATATATTGCTCATGGAATTATTTTTAAACTTTTCTCCATTAAGGTCATAGAATCATCTCTATGGTTAAAATTAGAAATAGAAGAGAAATGGCTAAGGTTCAATATTCATCACAGTCAGTTCTTTTCTATTAGCTACAAACATTTTTGCAAACACACAATTTACCATCCAAACACTTCAATCTTACACTGAAATGCTTTAAAGATTTATAAGCAGACTTGTGTATTACAACCTACAATTCCTTTACATTTCAAACAATTTCCTACCATACCTCTTCATAACACAAATAACCTCTGCTTTGTTCTAAAAACAATACTTATCCTGGCTGTATGCTTGTTGGCAACCATAGTAATAAAATTATAATGCTGAAAGGGATATTTTGAAGATGATGAGTACATGGACTTCTAGTAAAAAACCTATTTCTCTCAAAACTTTTCTTTAAATAGTGTCTCAGCTCTGGTGAACCCCTTTTAGTATTCTGGAAGCCAAACTAACACTCAAATAGCTAAAAAAAAAAAGCTTTACAATGTAACTGTTAAACACAAGTTAACAAAGATGCTCCATTATCTTTGGGGAACTGAACACCATTTAATATCTCTTACTTCTGCAAAGAACTAATGGCTATGAAAGAATAAAGTACAACTACAAGCATTACTCAAAATCAAATCAGTATCTACCTTGACAATTACATACACCAAGATACATGATAGTCAATGTCAGTAAAAAAGGGTGCTTTATTTAAAATTAGTTTTTAAATGCATGCATTATTTTAAAAGTGTGTCACTCTTGTCATATATGGACAGAAAAACTTGAAGACACCGTATTTTTTGAAGTAAATTCATGAGTGAGTCTAAGCTCTGAAAAGCAGGCCATGGTTTTTCCTTTAATCTGGGAACAGTAAGTAATTTTCTGCATAAAGATTTTTCTTTCCATCTTACTTGCACACAACTTTTATCTAATGACTTTTTACCATCAACACAGCTCTAATTAAACACAGACAACTGAGACAGCTGCAGATTAGGGAAGCATCAATTTACTGTAGTGCAGCTCAGGGAGATTATAAATTCTTGGGTCCATAATGTTCCAGCTATCGCATCCTATGCTGGACCACTCAATCACTCCCAGCGTTCTTCAGAACTCATTTAACAGACTAGCAAATGTATGAAAGACAAATCTTTCATATTATGGGCTCTCAGGCCACCATTAAAGGCATGATGAGAATCACATCCTAAATTGAAGGTAATACGCTTTAACTGCGTAGTCTGGTATTTAATAAGTTCTAATTCCCACAACAAAAAATACCAGAAATAACATTTAAATGCCTATTTTTCCGTAGTGCATTTCATGGGCCCATTTGCGATATTTCATTCTGTCTTGTCTGTGTTGTTTATACGTATCAAACTTCAAAGTGGATGGATGGCAACTCTCTACTCTGGCAGGGAAATCCTCCCAGCCACAGCCATTCTGCAGCCTGCTTTAGAACAGGTGTGCAGGCTGTGAAACACACCAGTGCCCGTTTGTTCCATCACCAGCGCTGGAGGTTTCAGATCCCTATGCTGCCAGTCCAAGTTTTATAAACAAACCTTCCTGTCTTCCACTTTCAAGCTGCACATACGAACAGATAGCTCATAAGCATTTTATTACAAATACATCTACCTCATTCACAGTCATTCACTTAGTTTTGGTACTAGATAATCTACCTGTAGTCACAGAGTCAAAACTGAACCTGGATCCAGTTTTTCCCCAAATTGTTCAAATACAGCTTCAAGGGAGGCTGGTGAATAACAACACGCTGTTGCATACATTGCCTCAGCCAGAACTCTGATCTCCAATAGACTTGCTGAAGAAAACAAGAACAAAGAACAGGCCTGCTGAAGATAACGGGTTTGCAAAATGAATTCAATTTTGCAAATGGAAAAAAACCCAGCTCCCCTCAACAGTGGTCCAAGCTCAGTGCCTCTTCCATAAGGTCAAAATCTCTTCTTCCCTAGACATCTTGACAATTAGCTGGAGCAAAACTGATAGACAGGGCTTAGAATTGGCAAGTTTTTCCTGGCATCCCAGTAATGTAATCAGTCTCATCTCACATTCCATATTCTTTCGGCAATAGGAGATTAGGCTCCCAAACATGCACAACACCAAGCTGCAATTCCAGGCTTTCAGGTCTGAGGTTTGCAGAATACACAGCCAGGTGCATCATCTACTTACAAGGCCAAGATCTACTTTATCATCAGATTTTGTATTGTTTAAGGGATTTCCAATGGCCAAACAAGGCAGTGTTCTGGACTAATGCCATTTTGGAAGCAGGATCTAAACAGCTATTTCTCATTTAAGGTTAAAAATAATCAAAGGAAATTAGGTTCATAATTATAGTACATAAAACCATATGCTTCTCTTTCTAGTAAAATCTTTCAGCAACATATCTCTTTCCTGCACTGACCAGCTCACAAAGCATTCAATGATGCCCCTTTCCTCATTTCCATGCAAATATTTGTATGACACTTAAAAGCTGCCATAAATCAGGTTAATTTTTTTCCAAGAAAATATCTGAAATCCGTAGGATTTTCCCATAGCTACAATACATCACTTGGAAAGTGCTATCTTTGAAGTTACTAACTCCACTCAGAAGATGCAAGAAATCCATTCTTATAATGCTTTTAGTTGCAAAAAAAAAAAAAACAAAACAAAAACCTCAATAAGAACACTAGCTCAGTAAAAATCCTTGTATTATTCAGCCTCTTGGGGCTATTTATTTATTTTTACAACAGCAACCAATATCACTTGCACCCAGGATGCAAAAAGCAGCTCTTAAAAATGGATTATGGTTTTTAATAAATGGATTCTTTAGCACTAAGATCACTGCCTCATGTTCATTTGATGCATCGTGCTCTTCAGAAATTAGATATTGATGAGAATCTGGGTCACAAAGGTATTTGAACCTCTGTGCAAGATAAGGGTGAATGAAGAGAATGAAGAGAGATATAAACACTTCTGAAGATAAGTACAGTTAGAATCTAATGCACCTTTTAAACAGCGTAAGCATCATCACATTTCCATTATTTTAATATAACCAAAGTGAAAGATAACAGCACAGTGATATGATCCTTTCATATAACCATGGTGATATGAGATAAAGACAGGAACTATTTCTTAAATTTCCAATATTATTATTCTTAACAGGCTGCAAGAATATATTTAAAGGGGGAGGGTGGGCTGTCAAAATGCACACATAGATAATTTTTCTATATATGAAGCCAGCATGCAAAAACTAACTTACAGGTACAGGGTTCAGATGCCACATATTTTACTGGGATGTCTCTCTCCCATAGAATTTAGGGCTCAAAATGATTACTGAGTGTTGGCTACAGAAAGCTTCTGGAACTTGATAGTACCAGTGATGTGCCAGATGATGCCATCAACACCACACGCCTCACAAGGATTTGTGATGTTCAGACAAATATTGCATCAAATCAAATCGTGGTGAAGCGGGAGATTTGGAAGGGAAAGTGAAGGTATGCTTTTGTTTTACAGCTAAGTGAGACCAAGAGATAGCTGCTGTAGAAAAGAGCAATCCTGCTGCTTCTTCTCTTGAGCTGTACTTGTCTGACTCTACAGTAAGTCTATTCATGGAGCTGAATCAACAACACTTTTTCTACAAAAAGATGCAATCAATTTTTCTGCCAGTTTAGCTGTGAAAGCACATAGCCAAGGAGCCACGTAGGAAGACAGAGGAGAAAGCCCATCCCTTGCAGCAGTGACCACCTATTAGACTGACTCAGTTGGAATAGAGAAGTGCTTCCTGAAGTTCCTGTCCACAGTAAAGTTCCTCAACAGACTGAGCTGGGTGAAGGGGAATTGGAGGTTGAAAACAATTAGCAAACAATTTATTTGTAATTCTGTGGATTTATGTCTCATAAAGAATCACGATATGGTACGGAGCCATCCTTATAATAAAAGCCACATGTGGGAATTTATAAGGCACTTCAGTGATTTATGGTCAGCATTTTTACTGAATCTCACACTCCTAACTCAATTACTTTTGAAAAGCTTGCTAGGATCACTTGCAGTCCAGACTCAAGGTTTTAAGACTTCTTCCATACGTTCAAAAGGTAATTTTTTAAAAAATCAACTTTTGTTCATGGTCAATAATATAACTTCCAGGAAGAAGCATTTTTTGTCATGGCTCGGAGAAATCCACGTCAAGTGGAATGAAGACAAAGACAGAAAGCAGCATGTTGTCAAAGGATAGCATGGCCCAATTTATTACTGAAACTGAACCTCTGTGAAACTGTGGCCAGTGGAAGAGGTGTCTATTGTAGGAATGTATGCAAGGGAAGGCCCTTGAATAGGTACCAGGAAAGGAGAAGTGGAGAAAAGGGAAAAGCTTTTTCTTTACTGAACAGCAATATGCAACTCAGACAAATGTTCGCAAGCTAACATTTATTTTTTCTAGAAGTCAATTCCTAACTTCAGTTTCCTGGTACCGTGATATTGCATAATGACATTTTGAAAAACATTTTTCTTCCAGTTATTTGCATGTTTAACCAAATGGGCTGAGGAAAGTGTCTTACCATACAAGTGTCCAGATCCTCCAAACGTTCTATCTCTGTCAGCTCCTCGACTGTGATGATAGAGCGTTTAGTTGTTTTTTCTTCAGCTAACTCAATTTTTTTGTGGAAGTGGTTTACCACGTCTGGTCAAATGGTCAGCCTGAAGGCAAGGATGAAGACAGGAACACATCAATCAAACTGTTAAAAAAGGCAAACCAAACCCAACCAGAAAGCTTACAGAACTCAAGTGATCACAGATCCTAGAAAACCAATTACAAAAGAAAAGCTCAGTTGTGTGTGTTAATCTTCACATGGGGTTTGTTTTGTTTTTCTCTTTTTTTTGGATAGAAAATCCCTTCCATCAACCATTCTAAGAAAGAAGGGAGAAACTCTTAACAGGAAAAAAGAAAAGGAAAAATGCCAGATAAAAAGCCATCCTACTTTTGACTTATAATAGTACTATGGGGCTTCCTCAGCATTTGTCCTGTCTTTATTACAAAGAAAACAAAGGGGTGGAAGAGAAACATTGTCCTAGATAGTTTTTTTAAAAATTAAATAACAGAAAGACATGGGCAGTTTCTGCTAATATAATTTTCATAACTATTAGATGGCCAAAATGTTATCACCTGCTATTCAAAAAAACAGGACAGCTTTGTTAAATGCCTCGGTTCTGTTTCACTGAAGAAATAGGTAGGGGGTTACCATAAAAAGAAGAAAATTCATCATTGATAGATTTATGGGATAAGATGTTTTTTGAAGTATCAGTCTGAAAAAACTCCAACAATAACAAAATTAATTTTTAGACCTGCATAGTGAAAACTGTTACTAAGAACACAGAGAATGTTATATAAACCACCTTGGACAGTACTTGAAATGGAGTGGGTTCACGTTGTCAGGAAAATTATGAAATATTTTCTAATTCTGTTGGTAACTAAAGAGAATATTAACATCTGCTAAAAGCAAGTATTTGAAGATCAGCTGGCCCAAATCAGTTAGTCACAGAAGCCTTCAAAGAGGCAGCTAGGGAGAGCTGTAGTCCATTGCTTAACATCAGCACAACTCTGGACAACCACTGGACTGTAGCTTTGCTAACTATCAAAAAGGGTGAACAGACGACCTGAATCAATTATAGCTCACTTAGCCTAATGTCTACTCAGGAAAATCTACTGGAGACCTGTTATGGATTTATCTTTAATCACACTAAAATGGCTAGAGTAATAATTAATGCTAATCATCATCACATGAGGCAAACTCAGCTCTTATCAAGCGAGGTTTATTTTTCAAATTTGCTTCAAACACTACTGTGTCAATGCAACATACACAGACATTTGTAGGTGGCTGAATTAGTAGTATGTGACACTCCAATTTAAGGAGCTGGCACAGAACTATATCAGTGCATTTAATCTTTGCTTTCTCTTAAGAACTAGCTGCCAGCTCTCAGATTGCAGCTGTCAGTTGAAGATTAACACTGACAAATTAGACAGGAGTTGCTCTACCAGCATTTTTCAGATCCGTACTCTTCAGTGTTTTCATCAGTGCTATATTACCTGAAATAATTTGCAGCTAACAGAAACAGATCAGAGTTAAACACTGGAAGGGACATGTTACAAATACAGGTCAAAATGGATCACAAAATAAATCAACTCAAATCAAATATACAATCATACCTGAGGAACTAAGAGCCCTGTCAAATAGCAATGGACACAGTCCTAAAAAGAAGCAAGCGTCAAGCATCCAGAAGCCATTACTGGGAGGGAGATCTAGCAAACCCAGTCCTGAAAATGAGCTACCACTGAAACTCTGACAAAAGGAAGGAATTCTTATCTCCTTGGCTATGTAAACACGATGAATAAAAAATATCAGGAGAAAAACAATTTCACTCCTGTATCTGGTGCAGTTAAAACACTGGAATAGTCTGTCTGGTTCTGGGGACCATGATTTTAAAAGAGGCTTTTAAAACAGCTGGAAAAAGTGCAAAGGGTTGTTACTGAAGTGACTCAAAGGCTGGAGAAAATGACTTGCTGTGCAAGAGTCGGGCTATGTCCAAGTTGTGCAATACCACTGGACAGAGACAGCCCCACTGCTCATGCCAGCTGAGCCTGGTCCAGGACCAACTGGAGCTAATTAACATGGCCACTCACACAGCAGGCTGATGCTGCTGTATAGCTCTTGAGACCAGAGTTTGTATCTTTACACAATGCTGCTCTGCATCATGAAGATATACCCTCAAATAACACAGTCTTAGTTTATGAAAAAGAGAAAAAGCGAAGAAGCAGGGAAAGAATGATTTGTTTTCTGTGCATGAGGACTTTCTTAGAAAGGAAATTAAGAGAAATGTATAGTTCCCTTATCTTCTGGGGAAAAGCTCTGAAAAAATTCATTGCAAGCTGAAGCCAGATAAATTTCAATTAGAAATGAAGAACAATTTCAATCAGGAGAATGACCACTCACTGGCATCTTGAAAGAAAACAGTACTGGATTTTCCTTACAGAGGCCCATTGCATTATCAAGAAAATTATTTTTCTGTGGATACACAGTTGTTTATGTCTTCTACTCTTGATGAAGCAAGTACTTTCATAGTAAATAACTGTGTCTCTCCTGACAGCTCTGCACCTTCAAATAACAAACAGTGTTTCCTTTCATACATTTCTACTCCTTTCTCTTCAAACTTGATACCTCCATTTCTGAGGTAGTCTCAATATGTGCTAATTCAGGGAACAAGGTCTCAACAGTCCCTCCTCTAAAAAATGAAATTTTACCTCTCATTTCACAAGTAACTAACCCTTATCATCTCGCCAGGTCAAGTACTGGCACTGTTCTTAACTAATGACTTAATGTTGCATTTTCAGTTTTAGATCTGACAACAGTGCAAAACTTAATAGGACAAATACATAATGCAGCCTCTTCCAAGGCTGTATCTTCCTTAAAGCAAAGAGGCAAGAGTCCCATGATCATATTTCAATGATGTCAGTGATGCCAATGAAAATAAGACCAATTTCAAAATAGACCTGTGCTAAGGAGAAACTGAACAAGTTATGAATGTAAACGGCATTATTAAGACACCCAGCATATTCAGATATCAACCATGCAAATACTCACCAGTTTGTGATGGCAATGGGAAAGTGCATCCAGGATTTCATCTACAACTCGGTCAGACAGGAAAGAAGCCACTGTCAGCTTTACTTCACTGTGTGAGGATTAAAAATGAGACAGAGAAATTTTATTTCACACAGGAGAATTTTGTCTTTATTACATGTTCAACAGTGCAACGATTATCCACAGTGCTTCACTTTATTTGAAGTATTAGAGGGTGTCAGGATATATGACTGCAGGTTTCAGAAATAAACTCATGAATCACCCAATAAACAGAAGAGCCTCTGTACCACATTTAACCTGCTTCTAACATTTTTCTAAGAGCTGAAACGAAAACATCTGGGTAAGAGAGCTGAATAAAAACCACATGAAACTCAGTAAGGAACACTGTGCTACTGAAGTCAGAGAAACACAAATCTCAGATGAATGGTATTAGGACAGTGCTGACTGTTTAACACTACTACACCGAACAACTACAATCCACTCATTTCCTCAGCTCCTTTTTGTGTTTGTCTGCCAGCTGAAGGACAGCTGTACAATGCTGGTTCTCCTGTCTTTGCCATCACAACTTTGCTTCGTCTTTTTGCTCTAGGTAACCACTTTCTGACTCAAGAGCTTTATGTCAGCCATTCCCATTACACAGACGTACACGGAACACCAACACACCCTGTACACTCAATTGAGGTTTCAGTGGTAACTTCCTATCAAGGAAATGTATACCGTGAGTTGCTCCCTTGGGGTCCCATCTTTGGCCATAGTAGAAAAGGGTCAGTCTGTAGAGGGCAGCTGATTTGCAGCTGACAAGCACGTATGCCAGAGCTGGAGCCTGAAGCTCCACCTCTCCTGCCTCTATGGTTTCAAGGCCAACTGCCTCAAATGACACTTGCCAGAAGGTAATATGATTTTGGTTTAATGTTTTTTCTGTGTGGACTGAGTTGCATTGGATTAACAGAGCTATTTCTATCTGGTGCAAGCCGTACTGCTGCAGAAAGTCTGCAGAAAAAGGCAAGAAACTCCTTGAAAATGCAACGCAATTCATAGGGGGGGTAGACCGGTGGCCAAGCCACATTGGGAAGAGAATGAGTGTGAAGGGATTTCCCTCAGTTACCTACACATTAATTTCAAATAATATAAGGCAGGACGGGTGACAGTATGGCATCCTCACCTACTGACAGTTGCAGCTTCTACAGCTGGAAGGGGCACTATTACTGTCACAGGGTCAAGATTTGTTTGATTGGACTGAAGTGAAGAAAACTCACTCCCTGAACCATTTTAAACATTCTGAAGGCATAGCTAAAGTCTTTAATGCTTTTTCCTGCCAATTTTGCTGCACTCTGCAAAACTAATTTTATCTTGCTGTTTTCTTCTTCTACAAAGATATTAGCATCACAATGCAAAATGACATGCTTTTCCATCAAGCAGAAAGGATTCCTTAGCCAAATAATGGCAACTGCAAAGGTTTAAATACAGGTCATCCACATTATACTGCATAAATATCTTCTCTGGTATATATTTAATGTGAAAAAAATATGCAGTAAAAGGTCAGGTAAAAGCCTCTCCCCCCCCCCCTTTTTTTTTCCTAAGAGCGAACTAAGAGTTGTTCAGGGTAACTGTTTCTGCTCCAGGTTTGTGGTTTGAACATCCAAGATTCCATTTTTAAGTATGTCTGTCTGCTGTGCACAACTCTCACACAAACAAAAAGTTTTAAAGTGATTGCTACAGCCAAAGGACAAGACCAAATGCCTCAACAGACAAAGCACTGTTAACACTCAAAGAGAGTAAGTGCACTTTCCTTCTAGTACAGTAATTCAGCATTACCTAAGAAAATAAATAGGTTTTAAAAAAAAATTATCAGTCATGAAAATGTTATTTGTATAACATAAATCAAAACTCTTACTAAATAAAACAGCAGCACATGCATTAATGGTCAAGTTAACATCCCTGGAGATTCCAAATTTGAATCTCTTAAGTTCACCAGACCTGTAGGACAATTTCCTGCTCTTTGAATGCCTTAATATAGTTTCTTGTGAGTCACAAAGCATTCCAAAAATCTTCTACTACACAAACACACATACACGCAAACCAAAATCCAAATTCTATATGCAATTTTGTCAGATCAGTCTTTTAAAGTACCTAATTTTATTGAGGATATCAATTCCAGATTGCTCCAAGAGGACATTTTTCACAAAAGTACGTGGGATGGAAATCTTCTCAGTGCTAGCCTCAATCAGGTCTTCACGGATGCGAGCTTTCTTCATCACATTTGGGCAAAGGTTTTCTGCTGCATCCACCATAGACTCAAGCAGCGTCTGCAGCACAGTAAAGCAAAAGCTAACATCAGGTATTGAGATTTTCATTAGCTGGAAGGTCACAGCCTTATTCTGGCGCATAACACTGTGACACTTTTAGACTTGTAATTTTTACAATTTCTCTTCCTAATTTCCACTCCATTTTGCAAACAGCTGCAATGTAAAAGGCATTTTACAAAATAAAGCTAAGGAGAAATAATAACTTGTTTTGAAAATGACCCACCACTGTACTTGTTTGCCTTTTCAAATATGAAACATATACATCTCTGTGTGTGTCAGAACAAATTAGCTTCCCTTGTGCACCCACCACTGCCGTCTCTGCACGCTGCAGCAGTAGTGGATGCCCTGCTTCAGCTCCCTTCAGTCTGAGCTGTGCCCTGTATCAGCAACTTTCATCAATGCTCCAGATACGCCTGTTACACATTGGCAGGATGTGTATGAAAAAAGCAGACTCATGAGAACTTGGCATGCTGTACAGGGCTGGAATATACAAGCCAAATATTGAGAAGTAGCTACAAGTATTATGTGCAGTGGGCATACCAACCTTTAACATATGGATCTCATTTATATATGCACTGAAGTCCACAGTGAACCTTCGGTACAGTCAACAATTTTTATTCTATTGTAATGACTGATCAAAACCCCAAACAAGGACAGAAGAAAACCATACACACTCTAGAAACAGGGCCATGTAACCTCCCAACCCCCTCAACTTTGTTTTTCTGAAAATAAGTTCTCCCCTGCTGCTGGTATAAAGTCAAGTTCTTCCCTCTTAAACTTTCCCTTAGAAAAATATTTCATATAAACCTCAATGCTATGAAGTTATGTTATGAAGCCCCTTTCAGTTGCATTAGATTTATCTCCTATCTGTGCCTGTGAGAAAAGGTAGTTCTGGTTTAAATCTTGTTTTATCACCTACTGGTTTCTTTTCCAAACCCCAGATCTGAGTAGAAGGCTGAAGAGCCCTCACTGCAGGCACAGGTGAGGGCTCATGGTCCCTCACATTATCATCCATGTATGACTTGGGGCACCAAAAGTGCAGGAAAGCTCTAATGTACACACACAGGGATCAGGACGAACACAGAAACACTACTAGGTGCCCTGTATTACTGAAACATCTTTCCTCTAATTGCTTTCAATTTTCATATGCAAAAAGGTTAGGCAAAACCACAGAAGGTATAAAACAATCAGCTGACTGTCTGGAAAACTAAATTTTAAATTCAGACTGTTTTATCTACATGCTGATATGTACCCTGGATACAGTAAACCAGAATTATTTAAACACAAACCAGTATTTTCTGACAAGACTAGAAACCTTTCATTGTTCAAATTCTCTCCTATATCCACCTTACCCTATCTCCAGTCCCAGCAATTCACAAAATCGAATTTAGGTATCTTCAGAAGGCTGTTTAACCATCAATTAATTTCACATCAAATAACTTGTTTCAGAAATTGCAACAGGTCAAGGCTCATCAGCACGGGATTTGAAAACAAACTCTATGTCCATTCCCAGCATGAAGTGCTATTTAGAAAGATTAGTAAGAAGATAGTTCTCTCTGACAGCTGGTCCCTCTGCACACTGAAGTTGTCACACTGCTGCACTCCAGTGACCGTGGGGTCTCCTCAGGCTATGGTGCTTCCAAAGTGGGAAGGAGAATAAAGACACTGTCCTTGGTTCATGCTTCAGCATATGCGCAAGCCACATTACCCTCAACTTTGAGTCCTCTAAACAAGTTCGACAAGCAGCAACTATTAGAAGACATCTGATTTTTCAACATATGCCATGCTGCATGCAGCTTTTGAGTAGTTTTTTAATCCAAAGGAAGGTGGAAAGAATAGAGGAACATGACCAAGCCCAGGTTACTGTAATAGGCCAAGCTGTCTCCAGTAAGACTGAAGGTTGATAACCAAACAGAAAAAGGTACTTAGAAATAAAAAAGGAAACAAAATCAGTTTAACTGGAATGGTATACTAGGCAAGTCTAGCTCTAACCTAGGTGTTTCTAAATTGTACAAAAATAACAAACTGCACCCCTTCAAAACTCTACCAATTGCCTTTTTCTTCTCTATCTCACTCCACAGGTAAGTGACCTTAGGCTAAACTCCATCTTAGAGCTTTTTTCTCTTTGCATAGCCCTACCATAACTGGCAATTTTCAGATGTAGATACTGAGTAACAAACAAAACCACCATCATTGCAAAATAATTTTAATGATTCAAAGCAGCATCTTTCAGTCTGTACCTCTTAAGTGACTGATTTTAAAGTGTAGATTCAAGAGCACAACATAGCAGCATGAAGCAGCCAGTGTACAAGGAGGTCTGATCTTTACAACATTTGATTTACAGGTATAAGGGACAACTGCCATTATAGCTAACATGAAGCTTGTTTCTGGGTTCCCAAGCTCTCTGCACTTTAAGGATTCCTCCTGTACTCCCTCCTTCTATCCCCCAATAGAGTCTGAGGCCATAACACTAACGAAGTGCCTTTCAAGCCCCTGCAGCCATATCCACATGGAGGATGAGGAACTTCAATGGTAGAGACAACTGAGACAGGTAAACTACTAATGAGAATTTCTGACACATCAACTTTTTTCCTCTGCCATTTATTCACTGGTGCAACTGTGTAGCCTACCTTGAAAAATCACACTCAGCCTCCCAAGAGTTACCAATGGATCACAATCATAAAAGTTATAAAACCTTGCTATCTTGAATTACAATTGCAGTCTAAGCATAGTCTGTCAAAAGCGATCACTTGAATAAATGCTGCTTGATGAAGTAGGAGGAAAGACTAAAGACTTTACCTGGTAATTTCAAAATTAATTTTTTACTCAAAATACTCAAAGAATGTGCAATTTAAAAGTTAGAGTTTGGATATCTTCTTTAAGTGCACAACTGAACATGATTTCTTCACTGGTGGACTTCAGCTGTTGATTTGACATGACTATTATCACATCTACAGAAACCTTTCACTGCCCCCTACTTCTACCCCAAAATTTCAGTGACGGAAACTCACAGCTACCAGTATTGACTGTGGAGAGGTAGACATTTCTATTACAAGGCCACAAATGCCAGTCAGCAGGCATGCAGAAAGAAGAGAACAAAGTCCTGCCCACCATTAATGACTCTTGACATTCAGGAGAAAGATACAGCGAGTAAAAGGACTGCAGGATGATGATATCTCAAGAAAAATACAACAGCTGCTGGAGGAATACTTGAATACTTCAAGCACTCCTGTCCTTACAAAACAATCTTCTCTTGCCTAAGCAACATTTGTCTTGCCTATGATTTTTCCTTGGGCCTTTGCTGAGTGAATAAAGCAACTCCAGGTTCTGTGTGTCTGCAGTGACATGAGCAGGAGAAGACGCAAGGGCCTTTGCTATGATTTCTCCTTTGGCCAATTCAACTCACTTCAAGATTCTGATTTTCCTTACTCTAACTTCTTCCTTCCCCTTCTCTTCCCTTCCTTAAGGTTATAAATAAATAAATAAATAAATATATCTTATTTGCCTGAAGAGTGTTCATTGACTTTATCCAATTTCTGAAGACATCTTTCTAGATTCAGGCTCTGGTTGCTATGGAAGCTAAAAATCAAAACTCCACTTACAGCACATAGGATGTTTTTCCCCCACAATTACAAAATCAACTGTACTTATGTGAGTTCCCTTATATATCTTCACAAATAATAAACTCCCTTTGATGTTTTGAATTGACCTAAATAACTGGGAAAAAAATCCTAATCTACGTTCAACATTTTCTTCTCCAAATAAAGTACACCACCACAGAAAAAGGACAACCTTTCAGCCTTGAGTGTAAAATTTTAAAAAAAAGTGTTACAATATACAAAGAGCGTTATGACTTTACAGTTTCTTGTAAGGCACTTTAACGCCACACAAATCAAACATAAATGTAAAAGTTAGAATGGTTGAGCTAAAGTGCCTTTTGCTGTACACGTGTAAAAGCACGAATGGAAGTCCCATTAATTCAATCTGATGCCAGGAACTATAAATAATATTCCAAATGAAGAGGCTCTTTTTTTCCCTACTGTAAGACTCTCCAAAATTTGTAGGACTTATTTAAGAGCATGAGCCCTGCACAAAGGGCTGACCTGATTATTCCCATCCCAATAATAGCCTAGAAGCTCCACTGGGAAGAATCTTGTGGATAAATCACTTTCATGTGTGCAGAAATTTAAAAAGTGATAAAGAATACCTAGCATATTTCACATAACGGAGAAAGGGAGGAAAATACTAAAAATTCAGCACCATTTTCCTCCAAATTAACTTTTCATTTTTGAAAAAGTCATTACTAATATGTTACTATTGTTCTTCATTAAATTCCCATGGACTGAAGCATTTTTGTGTTGTTTCAACTGAAAGTTCAACCTTTCACATTCTTTGGTAAGTTTAAATATAGCAAAACACGGGCGAGGCAGCTTAGTCCTAAACTTAAGTTGAGCTGAATTGCCTCAGAACCATATTCTTAAATTCATCAGCTTCCATTCAGATGTCAACAGTTACTAAAAACTCCCCACCTTGACTTCTTCCTGGACTGATATCTTTGCACATGCTGTTATGGATGACTCCTCCTTGCTTATTATGCAGTAATATCTAACATAATTGAAGGTAGAAGTTCCTAAGCAAGAGTTGACTGAATAGACAGATGAGAACATTTACAGGTCAAATAACGTCTATTTCAAGAACTGAGGTTTGACAGACAACTTGTGAAAAGATTTCCAGTAAAGCTCCCTGTCCTAATTCTTGGGGAACTCTCAATACATACGTGTTATCCAAACCAAACACTTAAAGTAGAAATTCTCCACCAGGTTCAGAAGTGGTCTCTGGGAAAAAAAATTCTGCAATGGAGTCTACAGAGAAGCAGCTTTCATTCCAGTGGGATACCTTAACTAGTGAGTACTTTTGTCCAGGGCATGAGACTTTTGAAGGTGCTTCAGAGATGTCTAAGGACCAGTTGATAAGTCTTCCCCTTGTATAAGATAAATAAGATTATAATAAACTGTATATGCTCCTTCTGCCTGCAATTTTTTTCATTCCGACTAGGCAAGGAGCCAGATAATGACACAAAGTTGTAAGAAACGAATAGAAGACAGCTTACGTACAAATATACTGAGGAGTTAAAAACCAACCAAGCAAAATGCGTGGCACATTTGCATTTAGCAACAGAAGATCTGTTTGTTATTTCTGCATGTGAGATCTACGGACCTTAAGTTGCTCATCCACAACCCTTGTGACTTCTCCAGCCATGGACTCAAGTGTCTCTTGGATTGGATTGGAGAGTGAACCATTCACTCCTGCCCAAGAAGCTCCACCGAGGTGATACAGATTTGGTAAGAGCTGTAAGACAGAAAGAGTATCTTTGGAAAGTAGGCTCATTACTACTTGTCTTCAATCCAGATAAATAGGCAGAAATCTCTCTACTAAATCAAAGTTTTATAAATTAGAATTATTTTGTCAATTTAAATACTACAGTTGACCATCAGAAGAAAATACTCTTTTGTGACACATTATTATTTTAACTCCCCAAAGAGGGAAGAGCTGCAAGCACACACTGAGCTCCTCTCAGTATTACCAGTATGCTGGGAAAGGCTTACTGTTTTGGAGTTCTTGGCATCCCGCATAAGTCGTTCTGCAGATTTGACATCTTCCTGTACAGAATCCACACCACAGTTTCTTAAAGAGTTGAGATGATCTTGCACTTTCACACATATTCTGTCAATCATCTACTTGAACAAAAGAAACAGAAAAGATAAAGCATCAGAATGTTGGTCAAATGAAAACTGAATTCAGTCCACGTAGCAAATCAATAGTAGCATGATGAGATTTGTAGTGTCAATATAACAATCTGTAAATGCATGATCAGAGTTTGGAGGTATATCAATGCTACTAAAGGAAAGCATTGTCTCATGAAGACATACCTAAAGACTGAAAAAAATAAACAGAACTTTATTATCAAAAAAAGAAAAAAAAGCTTTTGAGTATTTCCCCCACAGTTACCTCCAGGATAACTGCAAATAACCAACAAGTTACCCACTTAAAGCGTTCTTCTGTTTTTTGGAGCAAGTCTACTGCTGAAAATGTTGTCCATATATCTAACACTTAGCTCCAAAGGTCCCTGAATTTTTAAGGAATTCAGCCAGTAAAAAAGAGCTCTGTCACCACCCACTCAACAAACACAGCAGAGATTTCACCTGTCTAAGCAAGCCTTCAGGGGTACTCTTTCAAAATGTAAATATTCGTAGTTGCAAGGGAACTGTAACTACGAAAGCACAAGTTTCCATCAGACCTTCCACAGTGGGGTCAATTGAACTTAAACTGTATCTGCAACATAATTCATTCAACATGCTGCAAATACACGGCAGGTGGTATATCTGTAACCTTACAAGACAAACCAGTAAGAATGTCTGACATATAGTCAGTTTTTATTAAGATATTCAGGGCAGGGAGATACAATAGTTAGAAGTCTTTATCAGCCCACATAGCACTCATTAGAACTGGCCATTTGACATTTAGAAGCAACATCTGAGCGTGCGTCATATGAAGTCTAGAGTTCTAGCATCTTACTTCATTAGCAACAAGAACTGAAATAATTACACAGCATGCTCCTTTTCTGCTCCACATGACTCTTCCTCTTCAAAGGGTTTTGGGTGTTTTATTTTTTTTAAGTACAAAAAGCTAATTAATTATTAGACAGTGGAAAGTCTCACTGGGACATCTTGACTAAAAGAAAAAATACACTCTGGGAATAACAACGCAATTCCACCAAACTAACTAGAGAATCTTTTCCAGCTCTCTTTTAGAACTGTTTTTAAAACCCATTGTTACTGTACACAATTTAATAATAATAATACTAGAAGAGTTTTACTCTGCTTTCAAAGTAACAAGAAATCACATTTACTGAAATCTGATGTGTGTGTGGCTGTTGGAGAAAAGTACAACTAAACCCACCAAGCTATAAAAAGATCTAAACTTAATTCATGTGGAGATTATTAAACCGTGAAAAAAAGGTGGCATTGGAACAGATAAATTACTAAAATAAAATAAAGTGACGCTGCTCTTGCAGTTTTTAGTGCCTGTACATGTCCACGTACCATCTTCCCTGTTCAGGTTCTAGCAATAAAACTCTATCCCATTAAGTTTTAATAACACAGGTATGTTGTGGTTTAACCCAGCCAGTGACCAAAACATCACACAGCCGCTCACTCACCCTCCCCATCCCAGAGAACATGGGAGAGAATTGAAGGGATAAAGAGAAAGGACACTTGTGGGTTGAGATAAGAACAATTTAATAATTGAAATACAATAAATTTGAAAGTAGTAATTATGATAATAATAATAATAATAGTAATAATATACAATGACTGATACACAATGAAACTGCTCACCACCTGTTGACCAAGG